AGCCCCGCCCCGCGCCCCCCTCGCCTGCCCCGTCGACCCCCGCGCCTCGCGCATGGATGGTCCCTCCCGTTTCCCTCACAAATAAACCCGAAATTATGTACTAATAGATATGAAAATATGATAATGTATTCATATACCAGTGTCTCAGTAGATCGGTATATTGACGTGTAATTGTATCACTACAATAATATTAATATGGAAACGTTGATATATTAATATGCGATATGCAGTATAACGATATTAATGTAAAATATTCATTAAGTAATATATTATATATAATGTATGTTATCATACACTATATATTATCATCGATACAATAATATACTATATATTGCATATGATAACATATGGTAATATATGATATGTATTTATGCTATATGTTGTATATAAATATATTAATACTAATAGATTGATGCAATTATATTATATATGATTTTATATATAATTATATAGATGATTATAGCGACAATTATAATTGATACGATAATATACTACATATTGCATATGGTAACATATGGTAATATATGATATATATTCATGCTGTATGTTGTATATTCATATGTTAATACTAACAGATTGATATAATTATATGATATATGATTTTATATATAATTATATTGATGATAACATATAGTATATGATAATGTCCTATATATCCTATATATACTATATATATGAAAATATACTATATATGATAATATACTGTATATTATCATCAATACAATAATATACTATATATTGCATATGATAATATACGGTAATATATGATATATATGCTATATGTTATATATTCATATATTAATACTAATAGATTGATATATTTATATTATATATATGATTTTATATATAATTATATCCATGATAATATATAATGTATGGTAATATGGCTTATATATAATACCATACTTAATGAGTATTTTACATTAATATCATTATACTGCATATCGCATATTAATACATTAATGTTTCCATATTAATATTTTTCTAGTGATACAATTACATGCTAATAGACCGATCTACTGAGACACTGGTATATGAATACATTATCATATTTTCATATATGTTAGTATCCAGTTGTAGCCAGAGTAGATTACCTTAAGAGATTAAAACATATTCAACAGGCACAGATTTGACATGTTCTTCAAAACACAATTTCCTATGCTCACAGTTTATATCCCTAAGTTGTAATTAAATGAAAATCGTAACAGAATTTCACACTTCCATGGACATTTCTACTCATCTAATTAGCTGATCTACACAATTACCAGGCACTATCAAGTTAATGTGATAAATATTAATATATATTAACATATTTACATATTAATATATCTATATATTCATATAAAACATATATCATTATATATTTTTATATAGTAGTATCTAGTTATAGCCAGAGGGGGGATTATATCAAGACATTAAAACATATTAAACAGGCACAGATTTGACATGTCTGTGAAAACACAATTTGAATGCTCACACTTTAAATCTGTAATTTTTCAGAAACTTTTGCTACATATTATAAAATTAACTTTGTGCTCAGCAAGGATAATATTTCTAATATTTGCTTTGCCTGCTCCAGGAAGCCTGAAATAATTGCTTTAAAAAGTAATTTAATTACATTTGTTCAGTTTTTGAATGTGTGTTGCTCATAAACTGAAGACTCCAAAACCAACTGGTTTGGAAAACTCCATAGTTTAGTTTTTTTTGGGAGAAACTGAAAACTATTTTGGTTGCTTGGATTGTTCTTCATCAGGTTTCCCTGCAATCCCACAGCTCTTTTTGGGGAAGGTCTTCGAGGAAACCCCTCCTGCGGTGGATCTGAGGGGGATCAGAGCAGCTCACCCCCTTCTTGGGATATTAATAATCACCACAAATTACACCCTAAGAACTCAAAACATTGTTTTCTCAAAGCCTTTTTGCTTTTGGGATGAATCAAATGCCACCAAGCAACACTTAATTAAAACTCTTTGTGTTTACAAGGCAGGTATTTCCAAGAAAAGCCTTGATACCCAGTCACACACTCTGAGGCCATGTTGCATCACACACATTTGATGAATAAAATCCAAACGTTTCCTACTCGGATCCCTGACGTGCTCCTCGCCAGATGGCACAGGCAGCTTTAAAGGAGGAGATTTGCTCACGGAAATGGACATCTCGGCTGCCTGTCTCCGAGGCTTGCGATTTGTCACTCCGAGGGAAGACAGAGCTTCTCCCTTTTGTTGCTTTGAAAGGACTGTGCATGTTCAGCTCCCCTGTGCCGCACTCAAAGCTGGTGTACGTTCAGTGTTCCAAAATTTTCCAAATGCAGACATGTTATAATGGGTTTGGGTGACACCTTGAATTAAACACATGTAAAACACATGTAAAACACATAGTAACAGGACAAGGGGGAATGGCTTCCCACTGACAAAGGGCAGGATTGGGTGGAATATTGGGAAGAAATTCTTGGCTGTGAGGGTGATGAGGTCCTGGCACAGGTTGCCCAGAGAAGCTGTGGCTGCCCCATTCCTGGAAGTGTCCAAGGCCAGGTTGGAGCAACCTGGGATAGTGGAAGGTGCCCCTGCCCACGGCAGTGGGTGGAATGAGATGAACTTTAAGGTCCCACCCCAACCCAAACCACTCTGTGGTTCTATGGTGAAAACATGTATTTTAATATAAACAGGGAAATCGATCATCATGTGAATACAATCACCAGAGCTGTGCATTCCCTGTGGCAGGAAGCAGGAATTGGAGCCTGGAGGAAGCTCCAGCTCCTCTCCAGACTGTCGCACTCCATTTCTGCACGTTAGTTTGCATTAAAGAGCCCCACAATCAGCCACACGGGTCAAAAGGCCAAATGACAGTGTTGTCCACTGAATATCAACAACAGTTTTCAGGGACTTCTGGCCATAAGACAACATTTCCATTCCTAACATTAAAAAGGGGGTATTAAAATATTTAAATTAACTTCCTTGCAGGAATCGCAGCCCACACTGGATCAGGACATAGATCATACTGCAATTGCCAAGGGAAGGATGGATGGCAAGGTCTGGGGCTTTGCTGCTCTCCAAATGTTGGCAAAATTTCCTACCAGAGAATCGTTCATGCATGGTCATCACTACCTAATCAGTCCTGAAGATCTGAACCGCAGACAACCATTGCTTGTGAATTAAATAGCCAAGGACTATTAACTCAGCACTTCTGCTCCTAATCAGAGGCATACTTTTATATTACGTCTTCCAAATCCCCAAAACCCCACACGTGGGTCTCAGGGCAGCCATCTCATTAGTGCTGCTGCTGATTGCACTCATTAGGCACCAGTAGACAGTGAGGGAGTAATTAAAAAATCCACACAACTCTTCCAGGAGCTGCCACCAAGAGCTGGACTGGCTGCTGCCATCCTCCTGCACGACAGACACTTGTGTTCTCCTTTCCCACTGGAGTAAAACCAGCATTTCCACAGGCCAAAGGAGCAGCTTGCTGTGCTATTTGTGGCTGGGACACGCAGAGATCCTTGGCCAAAGCTGGCCTATAGATAACCTGCCTCAGGAGCTGCTCCCAGGCTGCTGCCCAAAAGAGGCCTGGAGAGCTTTTGGACACGCTACACTTCTCTGCTATTCCCTAGCTTTGCCAGCAGCTGTCGGCTGCCTGCTTAATAAGCAGGAATAGGAAATACAGCAAGTTCAGGACACAGGGAAAAGTATTCATCTGGGTCCTTGCTCTGTTCCCAAAACCTGATTTTCCTAATTTTTAACTTCATAATTTTTTTTTGCAGGTTTTCTCCAGATGCATGTGGTACTTTGCTGTCAGAATGGACAGTATATGGACAAGGAGGGGTTTTTTTGAGATGGACTTTTTCCTACCTTGGACTCGATGTCTTTTCCAACCTTAATGATTCTGTGATTCTGGGCCATAGGAAATACAGGGATTTCTTGTACAGAAAATATTTGCTTCCAACTAAAGCCAAGTATGGCCACGACCTCTGAGTAAGAAAAAATTCAGGTGCATCACAAAGAAATTTAGCAACTTCTTGTCCAGTTTGCATCCAGACATGGATCCCTTATGAGAAGAACTCCCAGAATTAACCACTACACAGGGAGACAGCACGAATGAGCAGGAGTAGTCAGAGGTGACGAGGAGATACACGATCTGCACCACAGAGCTTAATCCTCCCACATATCCTGCTCATTTCAGCACAGCACTACATTTTTTTTTAATCTGCCAGAAAACCCAGCAGTTTCATTATGAGGAGGGCAGTAAACATGTGAATAACAACTGGTTTTCTACAGTAAGTACGTGCAGTAAAACTAACCACCCCCAGTACTGCTCTGTGCTTTTAAATGTGCACAGACAAGTGAAGCAAATCATGCAGACACAAAACTTGGCATGTAAATTAAAGCAGACTAATTGACTCTGCCTGAACTTTCTTCCCCTGAATCCTAAACAACCTGCTGAGCAAGTGTTCTTCCTTACAGCAGTCAAAGTAAGAGGTATTTTTAGTCTGGAAAACCAGCACTGGAGCAGTACAAAGCAGAAGGTTGGGTACACCAACCACGAGGTATGGACTCATAAAATCACAAAATAGTTTGGGTTAGAAGGGACCCAAAACTCATTTTGTTCCAACCCTCTGCCACGTCCAGGGACACCTTCCAGTAGACCAGGTTGCTCCAACATGGCCTTGAACACTTCCAGGGATGGGTACACAGGAGCCTCCTCAGCTGCAGCAATCAAACAGCACCCTTGGGAACAGCCCTGGAGCATAGAAGCTTTGCTGCCTTCCTAATCTGAAAAGACGGAAAAGAGGAGAAAAAATGTTTCCCCTTCCTAAAAGGCTCAGCAGAGCTCAGGGGCACTGGGATCTGGGTGCTGTGGGACCTAGAGGAACCTCCCTCCCAGCACCCACCACCACTGGGATCAGCTCCCTGAGGGCACTGAGCTCCTACAACTGCCATCTCCAGCACCCACGGCAGCTCTTCCCAGGGTTATTACTGGGAGAAATTAGGGATGAAAAACAGAAGGTGTCTCCATGAAACAGCCACTAGCCATGTGCAGCAGGCTGGGAACACTGGGACATGCCCACGTGAAACCAGCTGGGCCGGCTGGTAACTGAGCTGAAAGCTGCTCCTCCCCAACAGCTAAAGCTGCCTCCTGCTTCCATGGGCAGGTTCCTGTCCCGGCTGCCTCTACCATGGCTGCTTTCTGCCTGCTGCCACCTCCCACGTGCCACTGTCACCACTGCTGTGCCGACACAGCACCTGCAGGAATGCACTGGCAACTGGAGCAGGGCCCCAGCCTGCCTGGAAAAAAGCAAAGGTGCCGTGTTTTCCCCCTGTGTTATTTCATTTCAGGCTGGCTGGATTTGTCCCACGGTGGGTGGTAAGAAAGGGAACACATTAAACCGCGATTGCAGCCCAGTGCGGGGCAGCCCGTGGTTGTGTGTTCAGTGTTGGGAGAGGTGTTTCCTCCACTCTTTCTCCACTGCCTTTCTTGGAGCAGCTCAGCCGCCTCCTCCAGGCTCACTGCTGACCCTGACCCACAGCCATGGGCTTTGGTGCTGAGGGAATCAAATCCCCATAGGATCATGCCACCCTGAGAGGGAATTTGGGGGTGCCGGTGATGACTGGGACTCCCTCACACATGGAATGTGCACAGGAGCCCAGGTACCTGTGAGAGCCATCTTTGCAGCAAGATGACTCACTGCCCCGTATGCCGAATGGATGGACAGCCAAAATCTGGACCAGCACCAGTCTGTGAGGCACTGAAAACCCCTGGGGTACAAGTGTCAATATGCCCCACACTGCCACTGCCACTGAGGCTGTCCAGGAGACCCTCATCCGGACACGGTCCCGCTGGGGATGGAGCTGTGCTGGGGATGGAACTGTGCTGCCTCCAAGCCCTGCCAGAGCCAGGCCCGACTTGTTCTCTCCGTGTCGAAAACCAGCCCGTCCTGTTTGTGCACCCAGCTCAGAGTCGGATGGGCTGGAAGGTGTGGAGAGCAGCCAGGGGAGCACTGGGCTGGGCTGCTGAGCTGGCAGCTCCGCTGGGACACACAGGAGAAGCGAGAGAGAGCAGGAGAGAGCACTCTGAGTCACCTGACATTGCCTCTGCCCTCATTCTGCCTGCGCACCTTCATCATCCTCAGCCTGCCAGCTTTCCTTGCTCCCTGTCCACCAGGGCTCAGCCTGCCTGCCCCTCCTGCTGCCACACAAATAAAAAGGGCCTTTTTGTTTTATGGAGCACAGTGCAGAGCAGTGAACAAGCACAGGTTTATTTTGGGGCACAGCCAAGTTAGTGCTGAGTTAAGGAACACAGGGCTTCCCACCTGGCAGCAGCAGAGCAAGGATCAGGAGCGAGATCTGTGAGCTGGCAGCTTGGCCAAGCTCCCTGCTGCACCAGCAGAACCCTCAGCCCTGTGGCACTGGGATAACCTGTCCTGGAGCATGGGATGGGCCTTCCCAGCGTGCACAGGAACTCCACACATGTCCACCACCACCAGGCACTTGTGGAAGTAGCAACACTTCTGGGCTGACAAGGAAATGCAGCAATCAAGAAAAAGAAAATTTCTACTGTATTGGAGTATTATTTAAAAAATTACATTTTGATTCATCTGTAACTGAAATAATAAAGATATATAGGTGTATATTTATACTACATAATATATCTATATTTAAATATAAATATACATATAATAGATATACCTTTATAACCTGCTGGCTTACTCGTGGTTATGTTGAGGGTTTTACAAACCTCAGTTCTCAGGAAGTCACCAGCTTAATGGGATAGAGAAGACTTGGTACCCAAAACCCAGCTCTCCCACATATCTGTCCCACAGTTCGCTCTCTCTCCACCACCAAACTCTAACAAGGATCAGTGTAACCCATTCTAGGACCTCTGTCCTGCCAATCCCATGCTCATTTGCTTCTCCCCACGTGAGGGACCTGTTCCAAACACGACCCAACCTTTGGTTTTTCTTGTCCTTGCAGATGCATTTGAAACAAAACCAATCTGAGCCAAACCCTCTGTGCCAGCAGCCCAGCCCAGGAGCACCTGGCCATGGCTGTTTGCAGATGGGGCAGGGCCCCCAGCTCCCCTGATTCTCCTGTCTGTTTGGGTTCCAGGAGGAGCAGTAGCCCTGCAGGATCCCTGGGAGAGGGGAGATGCCCTCAGGAGGTGTGCAGCACATGGGGTGACCCTGTCACCAGCTCCCCAGCCCTCAGCTGAGGCTTTTATTTGCTCTGCTGTGCTTGATTTAAACAAGCTTGGGGCAAACTAGAGGAACTCCATGGGATTCTGGGCAGACTGGGATGCACAGGAGCAGCAGCTCCGTGCAGTTACGTGTATTACGGCGCGTGGATGACACCGCCTCCTTCACTGGCGTGATGTCAGGTTTAGGCAATCATCCATTCCTGCTGGTGCTGTCAGTCACTCAGGAGGCACGTATTCCCAGGAGGTGAGCAGGGCACAGGCAGTAAGTCCCTGGGTGCTGGCAGTGAGCCCCAGAGAACATGGGCTCAGCCAACCCTCAGACCACGTGTGCTCGATCTGAGCTGCTGTGGCAGCGGGCTGGGCCCAGCAAGGAAGGACAGGAATAGCCAGATCAAACACGCCGAAAGCAGGTCACAGAACTGCCTCTGCTGCAGCAGGGCAAGGCACCTACTCATTAGGGTGATTACAGGCACCCAGCTCTCTGCTAACGAGTGGCTTGGGCTGCCTGACCTGCAGGTCTCAAACAAGCCCCAGGGCTGTTGTTGCACGTTCAGCTCAGCTGGTGGCTTGGGAGGTGTTCCCACTGCTCTGGCCTGTCTCAGTCCACTGCCCTCCAAAGGGGACCTCAGCAGCACTGGCATCCCAATTCCTGGTAGTTACAGTGCACCCAGGGCAGGCTCACTGTGTGCCCTCTGTGGAGCAGGGCTGGGGTGCTTCCTCAGCCTGTAGCTGATGTACATCCAGGAATACTGAGGTGCAAAGACCACCCTTCCCATAGATGGTGCGAGGGGACAAAGGGGCTGGACCTCAGTCAGGGCCATTGGTGAGGCCACGAGGAGCACAGAGGAAGCTGTTCAAATCAGAGCATCCAGGGTCTGGCTCTCCATCACACAGGGTCCTCAAGGCATTGGCCTCAAAATGCCAGAGGATGTGCAATGGCTCTGGATGTGTTTGTGTGAGATCCCAAGTGCCCTCAGCTCCTGCCCAACCAGCAAACCTTTTGCCTGGCCACCCATCCTGCCTGGCTCCCACACATCCTGTCTGGCTCCTATCCACCCCACCTGGCTCCCACCTGGCTCTTGAGGTGCAGGCACATGCCAGCACATCAGACCAATGAAAGGTGCTCAGCCCAGGACCTGCAGTAAGACCCCTGACCCTTCTCCATGCTGTGGGTTTAACCTAGAGTGCTCCACTGTGTGCCCTGTACCACTCACGGACTGTCCCAGTGCTGATATCCCACAGGGCCCCTGTGGCTGCTGGGTTAGATAAGGAGACAAACGAGCAGGGAGCCACAGGGCTGACGGCTCTGATAAGGCACCATGGGAAGCACGGTCCCCAGGCTGGTGGGGTGGTGGATATCCCATCCTATTCATGGTCAAGGTCACTGAACCACAGAGCCACAGAATGGTTTGTGCAGGAAGGGACATCATCTTGCTCCGGCAAATTCTAATTTTAACGAGAAAATTATGCATATTTTAAAAAATAAATTTATATTTCCTTAACAAAAATAAATCACTCTTGTTAGAAGTTCATGTAAAAGGATTGGCCTGACAGGTGCTGCTCTAGGTACCTCCACAGGAAACAAGGGCAGGTCCTCATCCCCCCATGGCAGGTGGGAAGTGGTGTCACCCACATCCCTGATGACATGGCTGTGTTTGGGGATGCTGGGAGCCTCTGGCCCTACTCCTGCCTCGAAGAACATTGCTGCTCCATGAGGCCAGCCAGGAAGCAACTCCTTGCAGATGCCCTGGAGCATGTGCTGCTGCATTTTTCTACTCATTTCATCCCCTCTAATTGCTCCTAAAGAGCTTCTGGGCTGGGGGACAGAAGCCTTACATTCCCGCAGGGATGCAACCGTTCCCTGTGCTGCTGGGGGAGAGGTTTGGTGGGGAGATGCCAACCCATGCTGCTCCCTCTGCTCCTGCAGCCACTGCCTCCATCCTTCTGGCATGGGATGGTTTCTCACCCTTTTTTCTCCGGTTTTGCAGCCCAAGTGACATCCTGGGATGTGAGTGGCTCCCAGCCTGCAGCCCCATGGAGGAGCAGGGGAGTTGACACAAACAGATCCCAATCCCATTGCTCCTGCAGGCTGAGCCAGTGTCCATGGGGACCCCATTAGGGTCACTGCCTTCATTCCCTTCAAAAGGCTGTTCAGACCTGCTGTGAGCCCCAGGACAGGTTGCCCAGAGAAGCTGTGGCTGTCCCATCCCTGGAAGTGTCCAAGGCCAGATTGGACAGGGCTTGGAGCAACCTGGGCTAGTGGAAGATGTTCCTGCCCAGGGCAGCAGGTGAAACTGGATAATTTCTAAGGTCCCTTCCAACCCAAACCATGTCAGGATTGCATGATTAAAGGCTGGACTGATG